ACMSWGCCACTGATGCCTCCCCTYTCCACAGAATAATCCATGACTTATTCATGGGACATATTGAAATCCTTAATTTTRGCCCCAAAACCCACCCCCAATTTATACCTGAAGTCAACTGATATATAGGATACATGGTTCATGCTTGACAGTATCTTGTACTAAAACAAAGTGGATGCCAAAATTATCCAGTAACTTCAATCTATAGTTTGTGATGTCCCACAGCTTAGTTTAAGGTATGCCCCATGAATTTCTTGTTGGCACCATGGTAGAGAGAGTACAGAGGCCACTGTTTTTTTAAAGTTATCTCAGGATGCATTATCTCTTGCCTTTCACTACTTTACTCAGAGAATGAGATGGTTTCTTTCTTGATAAGAGTTAAGAATCACACTCAAATTAACCCAGGGATAAATTTCAAGTTTTATATAGTGTAGTTAAAATCTCAGTTAACAGGAAATACATGAATAAACTAAGGGTATTAAAATAAAGCACTGGGTGGAATATAATACATGGTTGTTTCAGCAAGTGGAGTCAACTAGATGTGCCACTAGATGTTTTCCCATTTATGTCTATATTTGCAATCCCTGACACAGAGAAACCACTGCTAAAGCAGGAGGCAGTAGGAAAAGAGGAAGATTGCATTACAGGTGAATAGACTTGACCAAATAAACCATAATCAGAGCCTGCAAAATCAGACCGGGACTGTTGGTGACATGAATGAGAGATCTCGCGAGACTCTCATTCATAAAGGTGCAATGAGCAAAGACACTTAAAACTTTATCCCGGCACATTTACACAACACGGTTTGGCTTTGCTTTGCAGCTTCATTATTTAATATTCTTTCTCTGAACTCCATAAAGCTTTTCAGATGATTGCATTTTAGTAGCTCAACTTTTGCATTCACTGTACAGGCTCATGCATGCATGATGGTAAAAAAAGGCTGTTGCAATCTGTTCTAGGTTACATCATTTTTGTCTCAGGCTAAATTTTAGTAGGGCTTAGGCTTAAGCTTGGTTGAAATCAAGCTAGTAGGAAGATCTGTAACATTTCCAATTGTAACATTCTTAATTTTGTTAAATTTTGAAGATTATTTGGAGCAACACTCAATAATCAGCTTTTTATTTCAGTGATTTGGATAAACATATGCATGTAGACAATTCATCTTGCCTCATCTATTCAGTTGTCTAGTAGACAAGCCTATGAACTGAGTCAGCATGAAATAATTATTGGTGACAAGCTTTTGTGGATTAACTTTGTTGATATAAGAACCTCTATATTTCCTTCCATGAACCATGACATATGTTTTAAAGTTGAAAGTGGTCTTTTGCAAATATCAGGCAAAGATTTTTAATTGATTTATATGTTTTTCAGTATTTTACATTGCCTTTAATATTTTAAACTTGTATTTTGTTTCCATGCCATCGTGAGACATTACCTTAATGGCATAACAAATATTTAAATAAATAAATAATGGCATGAATTGAAAGTGTATTTCCAAATGGCAGGGAAAGAAAGGGAGTAGGAATATAAGACCACATATCTGATCTACTTGCAACTGTATACTGCTAAAAACATTTAACCTTTGTTCCAAAACACCATCTGACTAGAAGCAATATTTTGCTCAGCATTGGACAGATATAACCCCAGTTTAGAGGAAGTTCTGCTTCTAGAATGAAACCATGTTCATCTTTTGAGTTGCTATATGTCTATATTTGTGAATGCACTAGATTATACATTCAAGCCTTAGCTCTTACTGCAAATTTTATACAAATTAAACTACCTGGCACAGCCTGTCAACATTTTCCTCAGTTGGCATTACAAAATATATCGCTGGAACATCTGGAATGGGGTCTCGATCGGAGTGCAGAAGACTACAAATAAAAACAACTTCATTTATGAACAGTTTTGTTTCTGTAAATCCACTCTCTTGAACAAAAACATACATTCAAAGAATTCTGGATAAGATTAGACTACAAGGCCCTGTAATTTGCTGGCGCAGAACTATTCCAATCTATTCCCTTTTCCTTGTCTCCATGTAGTAATACAGATAACATAGGTTTTTACATTACTTAAGGTTAACCAGGGCATCTTTATAAAATAAAATCCTAATATATATTGTGCACAACAAGTCTGAAACAAACAAATAAAAATTGTGCTATTCAAGCTATGTTAAGATATTCAATATGTCTTGGAAAAGTATGCTACTTGGGGACCAGGATGCCGAAAGTATCTTTTTTCCCCCACGTTGTTCTCTTAGCATACTGCCGAAGTACAAGTTTTCTTTGGGTTTTCTATTTATTTTGTTAATCAGTGTAATGGATTCAAACCTGTCCTGTTTTATGGAAAAATTAGAATGTATATACATGCCAGACCTTCAGCTCTGCTCATTATATGAGAGAAAATGAATCTGAGAATAATCAGCTTGTTTCCTCATACTGATGGTTTGCAATATGTGCTGTGCAAAGTTTAATCACACATTTTCATGCAGCATACAGAGTAACAAAAGCATAATGACTATATACATCAGATACATACAGGTGGAGAGTAATGCCCATATCTCTTAATTCTTTCACTGATAATAATGGAGATATTATATCTTGGCCAAATCTGTCGTAAATAAGAACCTGTAATACAAAAAAGTTAACAGAATATTCACTAGGGTTGAATTCATTCTAGACAGCTTTGTATGTACTGTTTTGCCACAGAAAGTAGCAATTACAATGGAGGTTGGGAAGGAAATACCTACCCTTGATCTTTGCTGTTATAAACAGATAGTTGTCTTTCAAACTACAATTATATATGTGTTGTCAAATTTATAGTACTCGCTCTCCTACAACTTTAAAATCTCCTTCAAGGAGGAGGACAAATACACACACCTTAAGCCTTGATTCCTTTTTTAAAAACCTCATACAAATTTCAGGGGCTGATCTGTTTCTGAAGTCAGAGGAGGGAAATTATGAGGGCATGACAACTGAGGCCCCCAAGACATGTCCAGATACTGTACTTAAGTAAGTCCAATACCAATCTTGGAACTGGCATAGATTACGACTTACATTTTGGCCATGATTAGGATTCAATAAAGCCCACCACTTTAAAAATACAGTTAAAAATATATGAAAAATACAATACAAATAAACTAATAAAATATTTTAAAAATTAATGTTTGAATAAAAGAAAATGGAATTTTAAAAGATCAAAACCTCTTAATAAGAGTTCTTTTAAAACATCCCAACGCATTAATTAAAAACATTCTTTTAAAAGTCTTTCTGAATAAAAATGTTTTGGTGGGATTCTTGGATGGGGTGTGTGTTTAAAAGGCTATTTTAAGTGTATTTGTTATATTTTAATCTGTTTTTACCTTAATCCACACTGTACTATTTACAGTAATTGTTTTTTAACTTTTGTATTGTGCTTTTAAAACTATAGCCAAAGTGTGGGATTGTTAGCCTTGAGTCCCCACAGGGAGAAAGGCAGAGCATAAATAAAAATAATAATGATAATAATAATTCTGATCTTCCTAGGAAGGAAGTTCCAGAGTCTATGGGCAGCCACCAACTGTACTTGCAATGGTGTTTGAACTAAGGGTCTCCTGTCAAATAGTAATATAGCAGCTTTATATCTCACAACCAACCGTGGAATTGTGCCTGGAAACAAACTGGCAGTCAGTGAAATTGTTGCAAGAAGGAAGCTGTATGATCCCCATAGTCAGCCCCAGTTGGCAATCTGGCTGCAGTTTTTGGACCAATTGAAATTTCCATACTCTCTCCAAATGTAATCCCAAAGTGAACAGGTGCAATTGGCACACAAGCTTTAAATTCACAAAGGCACTCCTGGCATCATAGAAACCTGTGTCTCAAGGTTCAAATCTGTGTATACAAGCAGATTCAAACTACAACCCCATTTCTTCAGCAGTAGTGTACCTCCAGATACACAGGCTGAATCCCTATTTCACGATCTGACTGACCTGAAGCACCTCTGTCTTGTTTGGATCAAGTTTACATTTCTTTGCCTTCGTTCAGTCAATTACTGATAAAGACACTGCTTTAGGACTACAACAGTCTCTTTGGGCTTGGGGTAGAAAGCAGTAATAGAATGGATCTCATATTGATGGTACCACATTCCAAAACTCGAGATAACCTCTCCCAGAGGTTTGATGTATATTTAAAGGAGCATGGGAAATAAAACAGAGCCCTGAGGGACCACACACCCCAACAGCCCAACAGTTAAGATGGCATCCCTCAGCACTGTCTTCTGGGTTCACTCCTCCAGAAATGAATGGAGCCACTGTTGAACAGTTCCCCCATGTTCCATCCCAGCAAGGAAGCCCAGAAGAAGCATACTATGGTTGATGGTATTTAAAGCCAATGAGAGATTCAGAAGCAGCAGCAGGTACACACTCCCAATATCCAGTTCCCTGTGTAAGTCATTTATCAAGGTGACCATAGTCTTCTATCACATAGCCAGGCCTGAAACCAGACTGAAATTGATCTTGATAATACAAGCACAACCTTGAGAATACTTTTGAAAACATATTTTAAGTGAGAAAATGTACGCAATTTCTTCCATAAGTCTTGCACCATAAATTCATTATATTTTAATGTTTTGCTAGCATGTTTTATCTACTTAAATTTGTTTACTTCTCTATCTAGAAGCGGGCGCATTAAAGTATTTTTCAGTAAGTGCTTCACTTTTTTTTTTATCAGCGACTGGTCTATATTATTAATCTTTTACCCTGTACTATAAATAGAACTTTCAAAAATATGACAAGAAAGTTCACATGAAAATACAGATTACCATGGACATAAATAGATGTATTATTGGACTTACTTTCCATACTGGTTCACCTGTACTGTTTTTAACAGGTGGCACATTAAAATTCAACATACGCTTCAGAGCCACTGGAAAAAGAAAGAGAAAATATTCTTAGTATTACTTTAGTTTTGTTTTACTTTCACAATGTTGGAGATCAAGATCGTGAATAACTCTGAAATTGTGTTTAACTGTCTAAAATACCCTAAAATACAGTTGACCAAAATAGCATATTTGGCATAAATGTTATTATCACTACCCAAGTGAAACATAGTTTCAAAAGCAGTATCCTCTTTCTTACAGCAAATGAATAATCACACTAATGGAAGAAGAGATGAGTTTAGTTCCTGATCATGACAAGGGCAAGGTCCTGAGAAGTACAAGGCACATGACTTGATTTGCTGATACCACTATCAGCAGATATGTAGCATGAAATATCTTTCTTATATAGATGGATTTCAGTATTCTTAAAGCCTGGAAAGGGCATCTAATATATGCTGCTGCCAAAATATATAGCTATGACAAAATTGTCTTATTTCAACTGGCAAAAAACGAAGTGTTTCGATACTGTATTATTCTAATATTGTATTAACTAATGAAAATGCAAAAACCAAGGGTAGCGTCACAGCAAAAAAAACAAAAAACAAAAAAAAACAAAACCCCCACTCTCTATCAAATATCCACATCTTCTGATGCCCAGAAACACAACATTTATTATAAGACTTGATGTAAAAACCCTGTGCAATTGAGTTGGGGAGAAAATATCAACAAAATGAACATAGCTACATTATTATCTTCATGAGTCTACATATATACAAAATGTCAGGTAAAGATGGAATTTAAACACAATCTTTTAAAAAGGGAGGAATGAGTGGAGGTGGGAAGTTAAGGATTGCTTAATCTTACTTCCATCTCTGGTAAACTGGCAGAACAATTCAACAGAGAGAACAAAACAGTACAGCTCCAACAAGGATATGTTTTGCCTGACTGATTTTATTTAGAGAACAAGAAAGCAGAAGACATGAATTAACTGACAGCCTCTACATTACAATGAAATAAGCAATAGGGTCTCCCGTGGATGTACATTGGGAGTACCAGTGTTCACCTTATGCATAAATGATACATACTGATATAATTAATCTTCCAGACAATATAAAATTATTTGGATAATGAATATCAGAGGAAACCATGAAAAGGTGCAAAAGGGTCTCTAATCCTGGGATAGCTCCCAATAACTTGACACCTTCAACTGGTGATAGAGGTGATTTGAGACAAATTGCAGCAAGCACAAGAACAGGAGAGGGATTCAGCAGATATTTTCGATTCCTGAACCCAGATTTGGGCCTTTTTACACTGCACCACAAGCACTAGTTCCCACTTTAAATACTACAGTTGCTTTCTATGGATTGCTTGAATTTGTAGCTTGATGAGGCTTTATAGCTCTGAGGTTGAGGGCCCTTCCAGACAGTCTGGTGGTGTCAAGCTGCATTAATTCTACGGTGTTGATTGGTCCTAAACCACAGCAATCTGTTTCTTGACCGTGACAGATTGTGTATATCCCTTTTCCAAAATGCTTGGAAACAGAACCTGTTTTTGATTTCGGAACAGCTGTATTTGCATATTATGTACATAATAAAATATCTTGGAGATGACACAAAATTCATTAATGCTTCATATAAACCAGTGGACCTCAACCTGTGGTTTGTGGGCCACCAGTGGTCCCCAAGAACTAAAATATGTTCCTCGGCCTCACTGTTACTACACCATTGCAATGAGAGTGGCTGGTCTTGCGAAACCCTCTTATAGTGCCGAGGCAAAGGGGATGCTGGGAGGGGAGAGGCTGACTACCTAGGAAAGGCGCAGCAACAAGCCTCATGACTGCTGTTTCTCCTCTCTCCTGGAGTGGAACCGTTCCATGTGGCACCTGGAAGTGAGCGCGCCTTTGTTTTTAGGCCTGTTCCTGGGGTCATTTGGGCTGCTGATTCAGAAAACTGCATTGACTAGACCACATCAGCTCTAGATTATTAAATATTGTTTTCTGTGGGTGAGCAGATGGCGACTACTGGATGGCATATGTTCTGTATCAGAAACTAGAGCTGATGTGGTCTATTTAATGCTATTTTCTGAATCTGCACCCCAAACAACCAAACTGAATCTAAAGTTGACCAAAAACGGATTAATAACCCTTTTGGCACTATTGTTGGAGAGTGGTCCCCGGAACCACTGACCTAAACCTTATACTCATAGCCAAGATAATTTTATATGTAGTATTTTAAAATTATCTTGTCCATAACCAAGTTAGGATACAATGAACATTCAGAAAGCAAATGCGTCACTATCCCAGTGTGACCAAGTCTGAATTTTGAAGTATTTTGAATTTCAGAATAATAACAACAATTTTATTTCTATCCTGCCCCATATCTCCAATGGGACTTGGGAGCAGCTTACAACTGTGTACATTACACAACAAGAATCAAAATAAAACAATGATAGTAAAACAATAAATCAATTACCAATTTAAATAGCATGAAGGCACAAGTAACTAAACAATCCATAAAAGTTCTTCAGCTATGGAATGCCCTTCCTAGGGATATTAGATAGGCCCCCTCCCTCTTAACATTTCCCCAAAAGGTTAAAACCTGGCTTTTTGAGCAGACATTTGCAAACTCAATGTAACAGGCAATGAAAGACCATGGAACAACTGATGATGCAACTGAATAGTGATTTCAGTAAAGTGACATTAAGGATGTATGATTTTATTGACTTTTTACAAAACTATATTTTATATGCTATGTTTTTAATTGTATTTTATATGTTGGGGGGCATCGAACTGTGCCGAGTATAAACCGTCTTGAGTCGCCTTCGGGCTGAGAAAGGCAGTATATAAATACGGTAAATAAATAAAAGTAAACAGAACATATCATAGAATCATAAAGTTGGAAGAGACTTTGTGGGCCATCAAGTCCAATCCCTTGCCAAGAAGCAGGAAAGTCGCATTCAAAGCATTAAATTAAAAAACAGACATCATTCTTTATAACCAGAATTATATGGTATAAAACAATTTAAACATCACCACCACTACTCCGGTTAACGAATTCTAGACAATGAGATGCGCTACCTGTAATGCCCTGGACGTTGTTAATCAAGCCAGAGAGTGTTTGAGGACCTGGACATCTTTAGGGATACCAAGGTGCTTGTTTATAAAGCTATTGTCCTCTCAACCCTGCTAAATGCCTGCGAGATGTGGACTGTCTACAGATGTCACATGCAACTCTTGGAATGATTCCATCAGCATTGCCTCTGGAAAATCCAGCAAATTTCTTGGGAAGACAGGTGGACAAACGTCAGTGTGCTGGAAGAAGCAAAGACCACCAGCATTGAAGCGATGGTCCTCCGCCATCAACTCCGGATGCCTGACCACGTCTCCCAAAGCAGTTGCTCTACTCCGAACTCAAGAATGGAAAATGAAACGTTGGAAGGGCAGGAAAAGAGATTTAAAGATGGGCTCAAAGCCAACCTTAAAAACTCTGAGAACTGGGAAGCCCTGGCCCTTGAGCTCCAGCTGGAGGTCAGCTGTGACCAGCAGTGCTGCAGAATTTGAAGAGGCACAAATGGAGGGCGAAAGAGAGAAACGTGCCAAGAGGAAGGCGCGTCAAGCCAACACCGACCGAGACTGCCTTCCACCTGGAAACCAATGCCCTCACTGCGGGAGAAGATGCAGATGAAGAATAGGGCTCCACAGTCACCTACGGATCCACCGCCAGTACACTGATCCTGGAAGACTATCCTACTCGGCCAACAAGGGATCACCTAAGTAAGTAAGTAATCAAGTCAAACTCTGACCTATCTACAAATCACATGGTCAGTGTAGATCAGGCATGGGCAAACTTGGGCCCTCCAGGTGTTTTGGACTTCAACTCCCACAATTCCTAACAGCCTACCGGCTGTTAGGAATTGTGGGAGTTGCAGTCCAAAACACCTGGAGGGCCCAGATTTGCCCATGCCTAGTGTAGACTCATATAATGCAGTTCAATGCAAATAGACTGCATTATATTCACCTTTTGTTGTTTATTCGTTCAGTCGCTTCCAACTCTTCCTGACCTCATGGACCAGCCCACGACAGAGCTCCCTGTCGGCCGTCACCACCCCCAACTCCTTCAGAGTCAAGCCAGTCACTATATTCACCTACACTTCCCATTTAATGCAGTTTCAAGCTGTATTAGATGGCAATGTAGATGGGCCAAGGAATCATCTGGAAAAGATTTGACAGGATTTGGGGTGGGAGGGGAGTGGCAAATATACAGAGAGGCTCCAATCAGTTGGGATAGGACTCATGAACTGGGCTGCCACACGAATGAGGAGAATGAGGGGCCTCCACTTCGCAAATGGAGGCCCCTCAACCCAACCGGGGCCGAGAGAGGGAGCGAGAAGGAAGCTACTAACGCCCCTTTTCTCCACAGAGGCTCTTAAAGTAGAGCCTTTTGAGAGGAAGCGCCTTGAGGCCGCGGAATTTGACAACACCGAGCTCGACTCACCCGTCTGTTTTTCCCGGATGCCGGCCGCCATTTTTTCCTCGCCGCCTCGTCCGGCCCCGCCCCCTTCTTCAGGTCCCAGCCAATCCGCTTCGGGCAGACGTGGCGTCTCGGCCGATGTGGCGCGGTGGGCGGGGCCCCCTTTGTGGGCGTGGCCTCCTTTCTGTGGGCGGAGCCTCTGAGTAGGACTCTTCGTCTCCATGGCGCCATGACAGAGTTGGGGAAGAAGGAAAGGAGGCCTGAGGAGGGCTTCTTATCAACGGAGGGAAGACAGGTGGTCCTCCTCCGTCGGGATTCTTGAGAAACAAACTGTTTGGGGATCTTCTTTTGTGTAACTACAGCAGGCCTGGGCAAACTTGGGCCCTCCAGGTGTTTTGAACTTTAACTCCCACAATTCCTAACAGCCAGTACAAAATTGTGGGAGTTAAAGTCCAAAACACCTGGAGGGCCCACGTTTGCCCAGGCCTGATCTACAATCACTGTTGAATTCATATAGATTGGTACCAGTTTAACTGTCATGGGCATAGACATTGAGAACTGGGAAGCCCGGGCCCTTGAGTGCTCCAACTGGAGGTCAGCTGTGACTAGCAATGCTGTAGAATTTGAAGAGGCAGGAATGGAGGGCAAAAGAAAGAAACGTGCCAAGAGGAAGGTGCATCAAGCCAACCCTGCTCAAAGATGGGCTCAAAGCCAAACTTAAAAATTGGCATAGACACTGAGAACTGGGAAACCCGGGCCCTTGAGTGCTCCAACTGGAGGTCAGCTGTGACCAGCAGTGCTGTAGAATTTGAAGAGGCAGGAATGGAGGGCAAAAGAAAGAAACGTGCCAAGAGGAAGGTGCATCAAGCCAACCCCGCTCAAAGATGGGCTCAAAGCCAAACTTAAAAACTCTGGCATAGACACTGAGAACTGGGAAGCCCGGGGCCTTGAGCGCTCCAGCTGGAGGTAATCTGTGACTAGCAGTGCTGTAGAATTTGAAGAGGCATGAATGGAGGGCAAAAGAGAGAAACGTGCCAAGAGGAAGGCGCATCAAGCCAACCCCGACCAGGACCGCCTTCCACCTTGAAACCAATGCTCTCATTGCGGGAGAAGATGCAGGTCAAGAATAGGGCTCCACACAAACAAAGCTTCACTGAGACTCTTACCATCTTCAGCAGTGCATGTTTCTGGTTTCCCCCTTAACATTGTCCATAATGTATAAAAACAATTTTGTTCTTTTGTGTTATATCTTATGCCCAATAAAGTGACTTGGTTCCAATTGTTAAAAAAAAAAGAAGAGAGAATAGGGCTCCACAGTCACCTAAGGACCCACCAGTACACCAGTCTTGGAAGACTATCCTACTCGGACAACAAGGGATCGCCTAAGTAAGTAAGTAACTGTCATGGCGAAATTCTAGGGAATTCTTGGCATTGTAGTCTTACGAGTTACTCCGGACCGTGCTCTTACTCACAAGAAGCAAAAAGTTGGTGCTGGAAATAACACCATACGAAAGCTGACTGGCACAACCTGGGGATCACAACCAGATATGGTGAAGACATCTGCCGTTACGCTTTGCTGCTGAGTACGCAGGCCCAGTGTGGAATACATCTCACCACGTTAAAAGAGTGGATGTGGCTCTTAATGAGACATGCCGTATTATCCCAGGATGTCTACGCCCTATATGGCTAGAGCAATTTTACTGTTTGGACAGTATTACAGAAGTAGCAGCCAGTAATGAAAGGACCCATCCTCTGTTCGGATATCAACCAGCATGCCAATGACTTAAATCAAGAAAAAGCTTCCTAAGATCTACAGAGATACTTGCAGGAACACCTCAGCAAGTGAGAGTCCAAAAGTGGCAGGTGAAACCCAGAGCCTTAATCAGTGGCTGATACTGGATGAGAAACTCCCTCCTGGGCATACAAAAGATTGGGAGACTTGGAAGATGCTGAACAGACTGTGCTCTGGCACCTCAAGATGCAGAATCTCAGGGCGCTCATGGATGCTGTGGATGGAAGTGGACTTAATTTTTTTAGATTGAACTGACAAACTGTTTTAAATTGAATGTTTATAATTGTTTTAATTGTAACTGTGGTTTTAATGTACTGTGCTGGCATCTAATGGCTGCCTGTTGTAAGCCATCCTGAGTCCCTCATTGGAGGTGTGAAGGATGGGATATTAAATAAATAAATAAATCTGGTGCCTGCCAAATGTGTCTCTTCAAGTCAGGCTCACTTGATATGAATTTCTAGCTTAACCCAGTTACAGTTTCTTTCCACCTGTTTGCTTGCAAAATGTATTAGGTAAACGTAGACCAATTGAATGGACAATATATTAACACCAATCAAAATGTACTTTTTGGATTCCTGTAGAACAATAAAAGATTGTGACCCCGTTCAAGGGGCGAGACAGACTTTCATTGCCTAGTATGCAGCTGCCGGCATTTGCTCTGGCCAGCAAAGTTTTTCTTCAGAAAGATTCAACTAGTGGTGTGTCCTTTTGCGTCACCTTCCTGAGCAGAAGGGGACTCCTGAGAACGTTCAAAGTGCATGTCCCTTCAGTTTAATGAGGCACCAGTACTCTTTGATATAAGAATCCCATAGCATTGAGTCATGGCAGTTAGTGGTGCCAAACTATTAATTCTGAAATGGAGATGGACATTTTTGTGAGAGGTATCATTGCTAAGGCAATGTTCTCCACTTTGGAGGCATCGCCTCACAGTTCTAGTTTTCAAAATTGCTGCACCTTGGCGGCTTGTTTTTTCGTTTGCTGCTGTCCCTTTATCTACTTTTCAAGCTTTGCTGGGACCAAAATACTTATTCCTCTTTCAATATCTCACCCTTCAAAGTTATTTCTATTCTTTAAATCAATTTGTTAATTTTTTTAAATCAAATTGTTTTTAAAGGCTGCTGTTTTCAAAATGACAGTTGCAGCTTTTCAGGAGAGATGTCGTTGCTACTGGCAATGTTCTTCTCCATTGCCTCAGAGCTCATTTTTAAATTAAAAATGTTTCTACAATATTGTAAAATGGGAGTCATAGGATTGGGAGGGATATATGGGTAGGGTTTATGGTAAAAACTACCATTTTGGGGGAATATAAGGTACGGGATAGAGTAGGGTGAAGGGAGAAGGAAAGAAAAAGGGATTTTGTTGACTTCTAATCTTCCTCATTGTGGTTCATAACATTTTTTTTCTTTGTAAAGAATGAATGTGTGAATGCATGAAGAAGACCAGAAGAAAGCAGGCCTTAAGACTCAACATGGAGCTCATGCAAAGCATGATATGAGTTGGACTTGGCAGACGAAGAGTCCCATGTGTGTATGTTTGAATGCTTGGGATGAATGAATGAATGAGAGCTCTCTCTTGATGTGACTGTATTCAATAAATGTTATAAGAAAAGTGTTAAAACCAAATTTGATCTCTGAAGTGTCTCATTGATCTTAACCGCCTCACTATTCTTTGAACACTACATCAAAAGAACAGGAATATTTTGAATAGTTCTTCTTTGGATAGTTCTTCTCCCATTCTTCCTTATTTTCAAGTGCAGTCTTTTAATGTCTCTTTCTTTTATATTATCGTTTTCATTTTTTGTCGTTTCAAGAATTCTTTGAAGGGTGTCTAGTCTGTTAATTTTTTTTCTTTTTTGCACTGCCTTGTTGGTTGGTTAGTAGTTGTGTCAAATTATCCATGTTCATTATATCAGCAATTTTCAATAGCCAATCTTCAGTTGTAGGAGTTTCATTACACCTCTAATTTCTCACATAGTTTATTCTGGTGGCCATAAGAAAATAATTAAACAATTTGTCCTTTTTGTCTAATTCCATGTCTGTCATGACTCGTAGGAAATACTCTGATTTCAATTGAATTCTTATCTCCAAGTTTTTCTGCATCTCTTCTTGTATGTTTCTCCAATAATATTTTGCAGTTTTATAGGAACACCACATGTGGTAAAAGTACCCACGTTTCACATTTCCAGCATTTATCTTTTGTATTTTTGTAACATTTTGACAGCTTTTGAGGTGTTATGTACCATTGGTACATTATTTTATACCAGTTTTCCTTCAAACCATATGCATATGTATATTTTAATTTGTTCTTCCATATTTTTCCCATTCCTCCAGCTTAACTGGGTTTCCAACATTTGTTGCCCTTTTAATCATGGTCTTTTATTTGTTCTGTTTCTGTGGACCATTTTAATAATGTATTGTATATCTCTGTAATGTCTTTCTTTTCTGTCATAATTCTATTTCCCCAGTCAGATTCTTTTTCTTATAAGCCTACTACCTTATCTTTGTTGAAATATTCATTTAATTGTCTATATTAGAACCCGAACTCCGGTTTTCTAAATGGCTGCTGTTTTCAAAATGACAGTTGCAGCATTTTGGGAGAAATGCTGTTACTGCAATGGTCTTTTCCACTATGGAGGCATTGCCTCTAAGCTCCAGTTTTCAAAATTGAGTTTCAGCTTACCAGAAGACATAAAATTGTGTATCTCCTAATTTTCTCCTTATCATTTATCCTTACTAACAACCTTGCCTTTTAAGTTTGTCAGAGAAGGGCAATCATGACAGGTTGATTAGACAATGTTGAAAAAAACTGTTGGAGAAGGGGGTGGGGACTTAATGGCTCAACTGAAAAAGAACCTTGGATCCTTCCATTCTGGCTGGGGCATGGGAGTGAAATCCAATTGTTGCGGATTGCTCCTCCTGGCCATCTCAAGAATTTAACCTTCAATTCCTGCTTTTTCCTTCTTTATCCATATTTATTTACACTTAAATTTTGCTATTAATTAAACTGAGAGATTGTAGGACAGGATTTAAAAAACTGAAGGAGAGGGGAGAGGCAGTAATGGGAAAAAATGAAAAAGAACACTGTCCTGCCAGTGGACATTGGTGATGGGATTCCTCCTTCGTTCCATCCCACGGATTCCTTGCACCTTTTCCTCAGAACTGTTTTCTAATTACTTTCAATCAATATTTTCTCTGATGCTTTCTCCTTAAACAATTCTCTTTTAAATTGGACAAAGACTAGATTATTTCAAGATTTTTGATCCACCTTCTAGTGGCACAACCACAAAGATATCCTTCCTACAATAATAGTATTAATGCTTTTAGTTGTACTCTCTTGCCCTTTGCTACCTACTGTACTTATTTTATACTGAGGGAGTTTAAACACATCAGGTTAATAGGGCAGGAGAGAGAAAAAACTGGAGAGGAGGAGTCTTAAGAATACGAATGGAATAAGACAGGCTCCTGCCAATTGAATGGTCACAGCATATGGGGATAAACGCAGTTGTGGATTGCTCCTCATGCCATCCTGAGAATGTGTGGTGGGTATGGAGTAGGAGGGTTTTCCATAGTGCTCTAGAACATTGCAAATGAGGTCTCAGAGCAGCTGCAAAACCCCTTTGTGTGATGCAAAGAGACCACTAAGAAGACTGGTCCTTGTAATATAAAAGTGTTTTTCTGGGATTCTTCAAGTTAGAATACATCCATAGGCTCACATTCATAGTATTGCCCTAAGCTGAAATCAATTTGTTGACACATAGCAATACAATACAATATAGCCACATTTTATTTAATAAGAAATCTAGCTAAAACTTCCATGGCCCAACTATGATGTTCTCCTTGTAGCAGAATTAATGTTGTGAAGATGGCTCTCCTGTCATAAAGTGCCCCAAATGAAATAATACCATTGTCCACCAGAAGTGAATTTGAACCTCCTGTAAAGAAATAAGCCCAACAGCATTTGAAAGCATATATTTTAATACTGTTAACTAAGTAAGTTCTTAAGTTATTGCACTGTATTGATACATACTTATGACAGTTCTCCCATATAATAGTGCTACAATAAGAACAAACAATAGCTACAACAGGCTTCAGGAAATAACAGTTTTAACACGAAACATAATATTTACAAACTTGTGCCTGTACATGAAAAACTCTGAACTACTGTTATATAATGCTAAAATGTCCATTTTCCCTCCCGGATATTTGTTTTCCTACTCTGCTTTGTTTTTGTCCAGTCTGTGCTGTTTAAATTGAATGTGTCAACTTTTAAATGGTTTGATAAAACGTACATACAGTGAAGTCCCCTTAGGTACCTGAGCTCCCATAAAGAATACTGTTGCTCTGAACTGAGACACATGAGCTGCACGGCATAGTGTCATTGTACTTGTGGGAATAGTGCAAGTGGAAAGGGAGACAATCCCATTTCTTCCAACATGCCTTAAACCTATTTCAAAGGGCTTGAAACTCTCTGGAGCACATCTTTGACCCCAGAGAAGGCTGCAGGCGAGATGAGCCCCAAAGGCTCTGGACTAAAACTGGGGAAAGGGCTGGTTTAAGTTAAATTGTCATATTCCCCCATCCGCAAAATGTTTTGGGGGCAGACTTTGCCATTAGTGTTTAAAAAAGGTATTTTGGGCATGTGTCAGGGTATGATGGTGAGGAGGCATTTTGTTCATTCTGCCATATTCCTTGCTAAATATAATTTTAAATGTAAGGGTTTATCCCAGCTTCATGGGACTTCTCATCTCTCTGATATTTTGCCAGTTCAAATGGAAATTATAGGAGCTACTCTTTAGCTTTAGGAATTAGTATGGGGTGTCTTGATTTACATTGGGTTGGACTTCTTATGCAAATTAAGACTGACATAAATGGGACAAGCTAGTTGGGGATTGCATTCCAACAGTACTGAAGTAGTCATAAAGTTAGCAGTTTTAGTCAATCTACCACCAATTTAAAGAGATTTTAAACAAAAAAACCCCCATCAGTTTATATTTTCCATACTACAGAAATCCAGCACTGCTTGAGAAGATCTCAGGCTCTCATCTCAATTTAAGCAAGTGGAGAAAAACCCCTTGCTATTATTGTTTCATGTGATCTGCTTTATTGTCGAACACTTTGTTTTGTTTATTTTGAATTGTTTTAGTCTACTGTTATTTTGAATTGTTTTCGTTTATTGTTGTATTTTATGGAATTGAATGTTTGCCTTTCATGTTATGAACCTCCCTGAGTCCCCATGGGGAGATATGGCGGGATAGAAATAAAGTTTTACTAACTACTTCTAGCCTAATCAAAGCCCTCTAGTGTCAAGTGTTTTCCTCATTTATATACTGCCCATTCTAAGCAGGTAAAGGAAATTCCTTCCTTCTTACACCAAAACATTCTTCGCATGGCTGAAATTGTCATTTATATATTTATGCAGAGAAGCCACCTGTACTTGCATTGTGCTTTTCCTCTTCCCTGACCCATTTTTTTTGTTCCCTGTCTTTTAGAATGTAAACCTGCAAGCATGAACTACCCTTTTTATTGACTGTGTTTGCCATTCTAGAACAGGGCTTCTTAAACTTTTGATACGCATGAGTCCTTTCCACCTGAGAAATTTTTACGTGACCCCAGGTATATAAAATAAGAATAAAAATAAAACATTTAATAAATCAGCATTCACAAGGCTTGCTAGATAGGCTGGTTTTCCTTTTCGTGGAGTCCAGGTGAAGCATTTTTTGCAGAATCCACTGCAAACACTGCACATTGTTGCTAACAGATTTGTGTAAATGGGTGGCATTCAGAAACCTTTTACTGTTTCCAATTTTTGTAGACCTCAACATTGAGCTAAGGTGGTGGTTCTCTCCAGGTGTTTTGGGCTACGACTTCCAGAAATCCCAGCCAGTTTATCAGCTGTTAGGATTTCTTGGAGTTGGAAGCCAAAACATTTGGGGATCCACTGGTTGAGAACCACTGAGCTAAGGGGAACCCATGTGGGGTTGGGACCCACAGTTTAAAAAGCTCTGTTCTAGAAGACTGGAATACTAGAAGTACATGATAAAACTATTTTTAAAGAAATATTGATTGTAATATGTTTTCTTAATTTCTTCTGATGAACTTTGATCTCATCTGAATTATACACAATCTGAAATAAATGCATTTTAAATTGACCCTTTTATTGATATGACCGATTTTAATGTATGTTTTAATTCTACATTTAAATAGTTTTATGTTTTTATCTATTGTATTTTAACTCTATCTTGCATACCGTCTTGAGAAAACCAAGGTAAGATATAAAATCTATATATTTTTTATTGTTATTATTAGTAAGCGTCTTGCCACGGCTGTCAGTGTGAGTTGATCCCTTGTGGGTGGTTTGTTTAATCTCAAATGTGTATTCACCCACATGTAAGTGCCACTAACAAGTTTTTTCTTAACTTCTGAATAAACATGTAAAGACTTGCTGTTTAAAGTAAATATGCCAAGTACTAGAATGTTATATTCAAGATTATAAGTGATACACCTTAAGTGGTTAAAGCAAGTTTCCGTCTGAATTTTAAAAGTACTTCATGTGTTTAATTTTGTCTACACTACACACAATGGTGGAGATCCAAATGTGTGATAAATTTAAAGTTCTATACTATGTAATGATTGCTGTTTTTATTTCACCTAAAAGGTGTAAATAGTGTCCCTGAACCTCTGTAAAGAACGGTCCTCCAGAGGGGTAAGGAGAGAAGTACAAGATCCAACTTGCTTGATCAGAAGCAGTGCCGTTGTACTTTGAATCCAAGTCACTGCCAGATGTTTTATAAATTATGTTTGATTATTCAATTAGGTTTAATATATCTACAATGTAATCAACTGTAGGGGAACTTCACAAATGAAGCCATATCAAGCTTTTAGATAAAGTACTAATACAAACGTTGAACTGTATTTTTTAAATATACTGAGTTGGAATAATCATAAATCTAACTTATTTCCTGCCCTCTTCAACAGTAACACCCAAAGTTTATGCATAATTGTTGAATTTTAGACTAGAACCTTTACACTGATTTGATTAACAGGTACTTATACTTTCTCTGTACAGAGCCTTTTTAAACTCTTTCATTTTTAACACAATATAGTTTTTGTATTTCCAAAGGAAAGGGTTGGGATGGTTTTTGAACTGAAGCATAACTAGAGTAGCTGGAGCATTTTTCTGCATCTATACAAAGCATTATAAAGCTTTATTACTCTTCCAAATATATTTTACAAAAGTCAAAACGAGGTAACATCCTGAGAATCCTTATTTTGTGTTTTTAATAGCTAGAATACCTCAAATGATTTTAGTATGTAAAATACTATCTACTGCTATTGGTGCATAACACCAAGTCAACACTTCAAAAAAACATGTCTTCCCAAATTTAGTAAACACAGAAATTTGCCCGAATTTTTGGTTTATGATTAATTACATATAATATGAAAGTGAAGTACTGGACGGAATTCCTAACTAGTAACTTGCTGGAGTATGTCACATTGTTGGGCTAAGACTGAGATTATGGCTGTTAGTTACCAAAAAAATACAGTAACGCAAGACTTTTTCAAAAGCTTTGTTTGTTCACCATTTTGAAACAAAGTTCAAAATGGCTGAAATCAAGCCATTCCCATGATCATGCTGTAAACCTGTGAGGATGAATGTGTCTATTATCCAGCAGCAGTTAGCAAGCTTCTTGTGTGCTTTTATCATTTAGTTTCTTGAGCCCACTGTAGTGGCCACTACACTTCTGATGGCGGAATCAAGAGTTCTTTTAAACTTCGTGTAAGATTTTGTTATTGGAAGCTCTAAGCAGTTGAGCTGTCTCTTTCCAATGGGGCACTTTATATGTAGAAACTTAACTGAAGGCTCAGGATCAAAACCGACAGGTGGAATACTGCAGGTGCCAGTTGCAAACAGTAAGATGTCCTCCAGTGTTACACCTGACTCGCCACCTAAAGCAAGAAAAATTAAGGAGATTGGATTAGTTTTTACAAGAGATTGCACATTCTGTAGGGAGTAAGTAATTATAAACTGAGAACAGTCAACCATTAAATGTGAATATGAAGCAACACTAAAATGGAAAGAAAGCCTATTGTGGCATTTCCATAATATAAACTTAAGCCAGTGGTTCTCAACCTTCCTAATGCTGCGACCCCTTAATACAGTTCCTCATGTTGTGGGGACCCCCAGCCATAAAATTATTTTAGTTGCTACTTCATAACTCTAATTTTGCTACTGTTATGAATGGTAATGTAAATATCTGATATGCAGGATGTATTTCATTAACTGGATCAAATTTGGCACAAATACCCAATACGCCCAAATCTGAATACTGGTGGGGTCCTGTGGGAATTGATTTTGTCATTTGGGAGTTGTAGCTGCTGGGATTTATAGTTAACCTACTACAATCAAAGAGCATTTTGAATTCCACCTACAATGGAACTGAACCAATCTTGGCAAACAGAACTCCCATAACCAACAGAAAATATTGGAAATGTTTGGTGGACATTTGAGTTTTGGAGTAGTAGTTCACCTTGAGTTTTGGAGTAGTAGTTCACTTACATACAGAGAGCACTGTGAACTCAAACAATGATGGATCTGGACCAAATTTGGCAAAAATACTCAATATGCCCTAATGGTGGAATTTGGGGAAAATGGACCTTGACATTTGGGAGTTATACAGTTCACCTATAATCACAGCAAGAGGAGGGCTTTTGGTGGGAGAATTCTCTGTTTCCAAAAAGGAAGAGAAGGACAGGCAGAGAGATCCTCAGCCTTCTCTGCCAAAGGGGTTCCTAAGACCATCAGAAAGTGAAGGTTGCTTACCTGTAAACATGTTTTCCCAAGTGACCACCTGTTCTGATGGTCTTTGAAACCCCCCACGAGGTCCTGACCCTCAGATTGAGAAACACTGACTTAAGCATTTTCAATTTGTAAATTTTTAAAAAATCCACACTCCTAGTCCATAGATATCTATGTGAACACCTCCCCACTTCCCCCTTACCTTCTGTCTCCTGCAAGTAACCCATCCAGAAATCCAGACTTCTGGCTTGATTTGCTCCTGGCCAACAGTAAATTGTGAAGAGATCACCAAGAAACTTTGCTGAAAGTCTTTCTGGCTTATGACACAGTATGCTACAGAACGCATCAGGATTCATCTGCATTTTTTCCAGAACACTAAGTGTTTTCAAACCTTGTTCAAAGCTGGGGGAGGAGAGATGTATAGAAAGAGCAACAAAAAGTACTTTGAGGCTTTTGTTCTTAAAAAAGCAAAAATAAAAACATTTTCCCCAGTTATCCTTTTCTTTTCTTAATAACTCTTTAAATTCTTAAAAAACAATAATTCTCTGGTTTGCCTTACATTTGCTGGAGTGATTAAAACTGATTTTAAAGACACATTCCTGCAACAGGAGCTAGTCAGAATACCTGTACTGACGATGGTGCTGAATCTTTCTAACTACCATATAATTTTCCAGATTTACCGAATTCCCTTGCAAGCTGCTCAACACAGTAAAAGAAAGCTGCTTAGTCCCCTCTCATCAGTTTCATTTTTTTTCAATATTAAACATTTTAACTATATTTTAATTCTCAACCAAACATTTTTTACCAAGAAATTTCAATAGTTATAGGTATATGCAATTTTAACTCAACACTGTAAAATTTGTATTTCCAATATAGACAAATCCAGAGGAGAAAGCAATCTGGTGAAATTATACAAGTAGAGTATCATTTACCCAGTTTAATGGTAAAGTGATGAAACTAAACAGAAAAAAGATATAGCAAGAGGTTATTCAGCAAACAAACCTTTCAAGTGGTAAGAGAGTTCTCTTGATGACATGGTAATTCAATATCTCATCCACCAATATATCCTTATCACCTAGAGCTGTTACAGGTCTCAAACATCCAATAGTGGCAAGATATTCAGAACATTCACTTACTGCTGATTCTAAGCTGCTTAAAGTTGTGGCAGATTTTATCTACAGAAGTAAAAACATTAATGAGCCTAACATATTAAACATCTGGATAAATTTAAGAGTCTTGCTCTGCTCATAAACAAACATCTTGGAAATGCAAAGAGACAAGGTGACACGTTTGAGATCAGGCAGGCCCCATCTCTTCTTGTCTTCAGAAAAAAGGTACAGACATGGCTCTGCACGCAAATGTTTGCAGAATAAATTATTACAGTTTCGACATGATCTGAACAAGGATTATGAGTAAGAATTATGGATGAATGGAATCATGCACTTTAAATGTTTTAATTTGTTTTTATTCTATGTATTTTATTTGCTTATTGTTTTAATTTTTTTTTTTTTTAGTTTATGGGATATGTTTTATGACAATGTTTAAGCAGCATTGAATCTTGCTGGAGTTGTAAGCCACCTTGAGTCCCCCTACAGGGTGAGAAAGGCGGGGTATAAATGGAGCAAATAAAGAAATAAATGCATAAATAAATTTTATAGCTTTTTACTTCATTTACTTACAAAGACTAATATCTCCATTGCCCACCTTCTTCACAATTTAGGTATTAGAAAACTATTATGTGAGGTATTTTGTAACTCCTCAAAGATAAATTGTCTCTGTGCAGTTGTCTACGTGTTCCTTTTGCTTCATTCATATTACTATCACCTTATTTTTCATTGGTTAGCAACACTTATTGTCTTTAAGATGTTTTAATTCAATATGTCCATATTTTGTCTGTAGCTATAGTTTCAAATAAAAACAAGTTTACCTAAAAAAAAGCTAAAGATGATAAATGGGACAATCATTTCAAGTTCATAAGTGCCTTGCCCAAGTACTTTTCTACATGCAAGTGGGTTACAACCCAAGAGGTAGTGGATTGCTCCTCTGCACCCTCAAGAGAATGGCATTACTACCACTTGATATACACATGATACTTAATGCTATAAAGCAGCAAAATATTTTTATTGTGGCACAAATATTAAGAAAAACAAAAAGACAATTGTTGGTTGTGTATGTAATCATCCCCTTTGCCAAAATAAAAGTGCTGTGCAACCCACTTCCTCCAGCAATACCTAAATAGGCAGGAGTTCAGTTATGTGCAAATCCAGTACCACACTCTCTCTGATTAAATACAACCATATTTAATCATCTGTGAAAGCAAGTAAACTCAAAGATCAAGTGTCTTTTTAAAATTTGCCTACGGAGAAGAAACCTTAGTCATTTTCACTATGGGCAATGCACAGGAGAAGTACTCCCACCCCAACATTAATTCACTTTGTGCCATTGTAGAACAGTTCTGCATACTTATACAAAATTACTTTCTCTTTCCTATATATGTATAATAGGACTATATTATTATGTCTTTGACCTATAAAGCTTAATTACAATACCTCCATTTTGCACATTATTGTGTGTATCTTCGGTGTCTCCATTTTGCACATCTATTATTGTGTGTGTGCACATGTACCTTCAAGTTGCTTGTTGATTTATGGCAATCCCATGAATTTCCTAGGGTTTTTCTTGAGCAAAGAATACCCAGAGGTGGTATTCCCTTTCAGCTTCTTTTCCGCCCACCCCTCTAAGCAACCTTGCAATAATTTGCACCTATATCCTGTACATACTAACTCCAAATATGCCATACTAATAGCAGTGAGAATTACTTCCAAGTAATGTGATTAGGGCAAGGGAACTGCTTTTCACTTTGATCTTGTACAGAGGCAGCAAATAAATCTTGAATCAATGCAACTCTATAGATGAGTGCAATGTATTAACAGAAATCCTATGTAATGCAGAGGCTAGGAATATGATATGATTTTGTTGTAGAGATGCTGAAGATGCTGAAACAGTTCATGATTTTTCATACTTTGGGTCAATTTTCAATCAGAGTGAAGACTGCAGTTATGATACTGGAAGTAGACTGCAACTTGGAAGGGCAGCTATGAAGAAACTAGACAAGATCTTGAAGTGTAAAGATATATCACTGAATATTTTTGTCCATGCCATTGTGCTTCCCATTTCTGGACATCAACCCCTTAGTGAAACATACCAAAGACAGAATGTATATTGTTAGATTTCTTTTCCATGCCAGGGACTGGAAAAGTTGACGATTAAGGGCAAAATGGATGGAGCCTGAGGGAGGCTTATTCTACAGAGAAACATATTTTCTCAGGGCTGATCTTCACCTCCCAGCAGAAATCCTAAATATCAATCCAATTCAACAGTGGTTATTCACCAGCAGTTCCTTCCAAACTTACAACTGAGGCAATTTTGCCAACAGAAATGAGCAAAAATCACCATATCCAGCTGAGCAACTCTGATAGATATTTGGCCAAGAAGACTCTCCAAGTACTGATATAGTAAGATGACTATTCATGCAATCAACTTGTGTCAATTTTTATTTGCTTTCTTAACGTTTGTGATACAGTAAAACACATTTTACACTTATACTGCTGAATATCCTGTGTACATCAAATAATAATGCATGTTCAAACTATGCCGATTCCAGATTTAAACAGCAAAATGAAAAATTAAAGGTTAGGTCAATGCTTCTGCAATAATATGTACTCGCTTCTAACAATAATATCATCTTTGCTGTTGGTAGCTTACCTTCTCTATTGTTAGCAAAACATCCACATCTGCAACATCCTCTACAGTTGGTTTCACATTCTCTGTGCCATAAACAAGGCAATAAAACAATGTTTTGGAGAAGAAGCCAGGAGATGGACCTCCATGAACCAGAGAAACTGCAATCATTTTTCCAGCTTCATAATAAAGATTATCTTGAAGAGCTGAAAATACAAATAATGTAAGACAACTATTATGTTTACAAATCAAAGTGGATATGAACCCACATTGATACAATTACTACAATATTTTGGATGTTGTCTTTGGATATATGACATCAGAAATCTACGCATAAGATATAAAACCAGAAGTCCTCATTTGCCCTTAGCTTTTGGTACTCACAAACATACCATCACTAAATAAGGAAATTCAGTATTTATAGAAGAGTAAATGATGATAAGTTTACCTATCATGGATTTATTTACTTTTTAAAGCCATCTCAACTGCTGGCCTAAATGAAACAGCAGTTATGGGATACAAAGACTGTGTTGTAAGTTTCTACTTACATTTACAGAACCTTTCCATTCTAACTGACCCATCTAGCAAGAAATACTGATAAGCTTGCTCTAGAAATAAAATGGTAACATTACATGTACAGTACTATGAACCTATTAGAGAATGCAGAAAAAATGAGTTGTTCCTCCAATCCACATTTTACATATTTACAGAATAATTTTACCTTGAGAATCAAAAGATAAATTCTTTGATAAGTTGCCTTCAAAGAGTGATGACTTCTGAAGGTGAAGCATCAATAATTGGAAAAAATCTTCCTTTGATGAAAGACAGCTGGACATCTTTATTTCAGTTCCGCTGTTTATGTACCTTACTTCAATAGTATTGGCAGGATTGAAGCTTCTCTTTTGAAATCCTTTTAAGGCACTATTCCAGATGTCTTGTCTGTTGATATTTAATCTTGTTGGCTTGATATTAATTTGTGATCTTAATTCCCTCAGAATATTCGAGACTTCTCTTTTCTGCACTCTGAGTTGCCTTTGCAATATGAAAACAATATTTTGGTTACTAAAGCATTTATTAGGTATGTGCCACAATAATTCTTAATCTGTGTAATCAGCTTCTATAAAATTTACACTGAAACTTTAAATTGCTTGATAATGCAAAGCTTTTAGAGTATGAATTCATCTGCAGATATCTCATAGCAATTCACTATTTTTTAAGTTACACAGTACAAGCAATCATCTGCATCACAGTGACAGATTAGAGTCAAATAAAAAGCATGTTTATAAGTTACTAATTTTGTCTCGCTTTTCAAATGCATTTAATAGTCTGCAACACAATGACAACAAAAGGAAACACAGTTTGTTCCTGTGGGTGGAATATATCTGGAATTCTATCCACAGATGTCTCTACTGGTAAAAGACCTAAGGAGAAATGGATATGAAACTTTCACCAATTTTTCTGGCAATTGCTTATGTATCCTTGAAATCTCTCCCAGAGGGTACTGGAATCTCACTCAAAAGGGGGAAGCAGAACTGGGGAAAAAACTTACTGCCCCCTTCCTTTGAGATCTTCCTTCTTGGTATCATGGTTCCACCCCCTTGAATAGAAGCCACCTTTCTGTTGGCAGAAATTTATCTTAAGATCCAAGCCTAGCATTTCTAATCAATGGAACAGATCTAAAGAGGCACAGAACAATATCCATAAACTTATTTGATATTTGGCTCTCTGTTCCCCACAAACATGACAAACAGTATTGCATAACAATGCACTTTGAAACGGTGAAAGGAATTGGATTGATATATGATGCAGAAAACAGCAGTTCAGTGTCAAAAATCCGTAAGGTAACTTACTAGCATAAATAAAACTTCAACCTTAAACCCATCATTTCAAAAACTGTAGAAACAGTTCTACTTACGATTTTCTTAGTGACAGATTCCTCACTGAAGGACTGATCCAGGAGGGTGAAGATATCAGTCTGTTATCAGAAGGGGAAAGATCCAGTTGTGAACAATGGGTAAAGGCATTGGAGTATATAATCTTTGGGGATCTGAAAGAAAGAAAACAGAACAGTTTTGATTTCTACTTTTGAGAGTTAGAGACGTATGCCAATGAATCAGAAACTGTTATGCATAAATATACAGGCATAAACATTTTATCACTGCAAACCTTTAGTCTGAACTAGTCATTTATTTCTGAAGCATAAAATAGACAAGTGTGGAGTTTGCAACAAAAATTCTTAACAAACAAGAAGTTCAAGCAAGACGAATCATTTGTAAATGTAAGAAATTGACAAGCATCTATTGGGTAGTTAATTCCCTTCTGCTGCTTTAGACTAAAGAAGGATTGCTGATAGAAGATGGCCTCAGCCATTATCTTTGGTAAGTTAGCTGTGTGAGCAATTGAACTTCCAGCCCTATGATGTTTTCTTGGAGGAAATATGGGGGAAAGGGGCAATAACGGAGGTGGCTACAGAGGGAATTCCAGATTGTTTGGATGCTGCACAAACCTGGGGGCAACAGGCATAATTTCTTATATTCTTTACCAACAATTGATAAAAATTGCTGCAGTCAAGAATCCCAATCAAAACATGGCACAGGCAAAGACATAGCAACTGAAAAAGGCATTGATAATATTTGGTTTCTTTGTTCAACATGGTCACTGCATTGAGAATGGACAAATAGGTAAAATTTGTGAGATGACTGTTGGGTTTTCCACCTATTGGGTTGGCACTGCCTAGAAGCCCTTCAGAATAATTAGTAATCCCAGCCAAGAGAAGTGAGGTGGCTAGAGAACAGCTTCCTCCTCTGAACACTACACCCCCTTCTGACTGTTCATAGTGCTAGCTAGGGCTGAATAACATTTTGGATTGGTTAATTGAGATCTTGAAGTGATCTCATTATCCTTAACCTCTTTCAGGCCAGAAGCATAACTAAGACTAGCTTCAAACTAGTTAATATCCCCTTTTAGAGAAGAGGGAACTAAGAAATGTATTGCTACCTGAAAAATCTGAAAAAAGCATGGACCTTCTTTTTTGAAAGTGGAAGGGAAAAAGGGGGAAAACAGTAATTGAGAGAAAGACAGAGAAGCAGAATAGACAGTATTTTTCAGTGAGGCAAACTGAAAGAAGGAGGAGCAAAGAGGGAAATACTTTCTGAAGACATTGTCTTGTGTGGATGGCGACAGAAATGAATCCATACATTCAGATAGCTGATAAAGTAAAAACTTTTGGATTCCTTTTAATTGCACAAGAGAAAGGAGGAGATACTGTGCATGAATCTTAGGTATGCTATGGCTTATAGCAGCTCGTTAAACAGAGTTTTGATGTGTGAATGTAGCCACCGTTACTTCTATGTAGCCACAAGACAAGAGAAAAAAAAACATGCCTGATGAGGAAGCCAAGATGGGATCCAGGAGACTGTCTTGGGCATTTGGGTGAGGGATCTTCTTGCAAACCATCTCCAGTATCTGTTTTTTCTGTTATACTCAAAGAACGCTTTCTCCATTTCTTAATGTTCCCTGTATGATGAAATTCATAGTATCACTCTTGGAATTAATAAACAAGTTTCAATTAATTTAAGTCTCATTAGCAGACATTTCATACCATTTGATTTGGCAAGAAGGGTTCTGCATTCAATGCATTCCCAATTTTGCTCCCGACTCATCAACGAGGAACAAGCAAAATGAGTTCCACTGGAGCCGCAGTACTGACAGCGCTTTATCTCCCATTTACTAAAGGGAAAAAATGCATTTGAAATTCAGCTCAACGAATTGTCTGTGCAATAAAACAAGATTTAATATTATCAAGATATATCATTTTACATTTAAAAATCTGTCTTTCTGTTACAAAGACTATCAAAAAGTGTCTTGTGCTAATTATCAAAAGATAACACCACATGCATACCACTGGAACAGAAGTAAAAGCAAATAACCAGCCCATTTGGGAAGAAAGGCCGCACTATAATAAAAATATTGGATTGGGTCCAAAGGTTCCATCCTGATAGGGTTTCTTCTAATGATAGAACCCTGTAATCAAGACTCAACACTTTATATGTTTTTAACCTGTTCTGTGTGTGCTATCTGCTTATGTGTTTTCATTGTTATGTTTATATGCAGCACTGAATTTTTGCTGGAGTCTGTAAGCTGCCTTGAGTTCCCTGAGGGGTGAGAAGGGTGAGGTATAAATGAAGTAAATAAATAGATGATACATAATCCAGACTATTTAGAGTTGCATTTATTCATACCTATCAGGCTCACTGTAATCTCTTCCATGTCGGCAGAGGCACCTTTTCATATCACAGTGTTGATAGCACTGAAGAAGGTCTTGGTATGCATTCTCTTCCAGTTCCCAGGAGGCATCTCTGGAAAGAGTAAAGTGTTCATTTAGAATATTTCCAGTTCTATGTTTTTGCCTTGTTAAAATAGTCAAACACAACTGGAGCAGCAGGCCCATAAAACTATTTGGTATAATAAACATTAATTTTCAGGAAGCACTTACCTTTCTGGAATATGGATGCCCATTCTCAACATTTCATTCTGGAATTTCTCTGTATTATTACATACTGGGCATCTAAAGAAAAACACTCCTGCACTCAGAGCTTGACACTGGATCCAAAAATGAGAAATAAGAGGGAAAAATAAATATTTATTCTAGGCGCACACAACAATATTAACAACAATATTCAATATTCAGGTAGCTACAATGACACTGAGTTTTAAAAGTTATCAAACCTATTGACATTATCACTTTGCTTTTGTAAATTCTTATTAAGAGCTAGAAATGAGTCCACACAAATATCATATGTGCTGTGGTGCTGATAACATTTCTTGGTCTACAGAAGACCATTCATTGATCTACAGAAGAAGGTGGCAATGGGGCAAGCTGGACAACACCAGCAGCACAGGTAACAAAGCAGAAAATTAGCCATTTTGTCTGTCATGACAGTTAAAAAGTAAGCCTTGTTTTGTCTTTGTTACTCCATTTGTGAATTATTGACCAGTAATTATTCCAAGTGGGAAACAATTTGTTGGAATATGACTCAAAAAAGTAAGAGTAGAACCCTTGTTCACCTGCTGTGACAATATTGCACTTTTGTATTAAGTTCATATTTTGGCATCGCAGATAAGGCAAGGTCTGCTGATGTACCCAGAATACCACACAGTTGAATTTCTTGAGCTCCATTTCAGTTACTTCAGTTTGCTGATGTGGACAACCAGAAATTGATCAATCCCACCAGGCCAAGTGTTGCATAATTTATTTCAAAGTTAGGTATGTGTCCACAGATTCACTGCACGCCCTCTTTAACTGTTCTAATATAGCTAGTGTAAACGTGACTTAATGCAACATGTAATGTTTTTGAACTTTGCATATCATCAGCTGGGAGTCTGGGTTTTCTACAGCTACATGTTAGTATGTGAAATATTATTTTATCATGTGCTTTTGGGAATATATATATACACTAGTAGCACATCTCCAAGTGTTTATCTTTATGTAGTAAAAAAAATTGATATCATGCACACAAAAATAATGTATCAGTAGATCTGGGGAACTACAAAATCTGCAGAACTACAAGAAATCATTAAGACAACTATGGAGAAGAACCCCATCAAAAGAAACTAGCCCAACAATAATATAGCAGTTCCACAGGAATGCTAACTGACTTTGGAGATGATTTTGGAAGAGAAAATGTCTGATTTGCACTTTGAATAAAAGTCTGTAACATTTAAAGTACAAAGCAACATTAAGAACTGAACTACTGTATACATAAGTGTTTCCCAAACGTTAGCTTTCCAGATGCTTTGGATTTCAGCTGCCAGAATTCCCAACTGTTGACCAAATTGGCTGTGTCTTTTAGGCACTGAAGTCCAAAATAAAGTTTAGTAACTGGTCTATGGTAGCATTTAATACATTTTTCTTAATTTTTAAAAACCGAGTGCTATAGTGACATTCCAGACATACCTGTAAGCACTCTCTATGAAACCAAGCATTTTTACAGCATGGACTTGTTAGAATATTGTATGAGGGTGCATGTTCAACCAGTTCCAAACATATTGTACATTGTGATGATCCATTAGCAGATGGCCGTTTTTGAGTAGGACGGTGTTTCCAACAATATGACCTGGAGTATATAGAGAATTTCATACAATCACATTTATTTATTTAATATCCTATCTTTCTGCTTGTACAAGACCAATCTCTAAAACACAGACTAAAGTAAATAAACATATACTGATAACAATCTGAGCGACACAATCTTTCATTATTTAAAAAAGCTTTTCAGAATTGAAAGAGAATTATGAAACATTCTGTTACGACGGCCCTTTGTACACTAGAGTCTGCTTTATGAAATAAATTTGGGTACACATATATAGCTTGTGTACAGACAGAAGTTTGAAGAGGCTGTTTAAAAAAATGCATGTGTGAATGAAAAGACCACAAGTTTGTAGTAAATAGGTCAATACAGAGCATAAATGAGATGATCAAGCCTTCAGGATTACACACTTTTAATAAACAAAGCTTAACAGGTAAAACACAAGAAATCTATGAAACTAGCTGATGAGGCTGCAGCCTATAAAAACATAAGACAAATTAAAAAATTTAACCTTTAAGGTGCCACCAGATTCTGTGTCCCTTCTGCTGAAACAAACTACACAGCCACCATTCAGAAATTAAATTAACATAATTCTACTGAAAGAGTTTTTAAAAACTTACGGGAAAGCACCCCTGAACTGGAAAATGCACCCTTTCTCAGCACCACATGGAAAGTGATAGCCTCGTTTGCATCTGGATGCCACACAACCAATTGAAGCACCTTTTTTCTTACAGATAGTGCATTTCTAAAAAGAAAATAATAAACACATTAGCCTAAGCAGCCCAGCAATCTTCTGATCTATCGTGTTTTGTTTTAAATTAAAAAACGAATTTCAATGCATACATTAAGCTCTATAATCATTTCCAGATTTAGAAACACAATACAGATTGTTGTTGTTGTTCATTCGTTCAGTCGCTTCCAACTCTTTGTGACCTCATGGACCATCCCACGCCAGAGCGCCCTGTCGGCCGTCACCTCCCCCAGCTCCTTCAGAGTCAAGCCAGTCACTTCAAGGATACCATCCATCCATCTTGCCCTTGGTCAGCCACTCTTCCTTTTTCTTTCCATTTCCCCCAGAATAACTGTCTTCTCTAAGCTTTCCTTTCTTCTCATGATGTGGCCAAAGTATTCCATCTTTGCCTCTTCTATCTTTTCCTCCAATGAGCATCGGGCTTTATTTCCTGAAGTATGAACTGGTTGGACCTTCTGGCGGTCCAAGGCACTCTCAGAACTTTCCTCCAGCACCACAGTTCGAAAGCATCTATCTTCCTTCGCTCAGCCTTCCCTATGGTCCAGCTCTCACAATCGTAGGTGACTACGCGGAATACCATTGCTTTGACTATGCGGATCTTTGTTGCCAGTGTGATGTCTCTACTCTTCCCTATTTTATCGAGATTGGACATTGCTCTCCTCCCAAGAAGTAAGCGTCTTCTAATTTCCTGGCTGCAGTCTGCGTCTGCAGTAATCTTTGCACCTAGAAATACAAAGTCTGGGTTGCTGTAGGTTTTTTCGGGCTATATGGCCATGGTCTAGAGGCATTCTCTCCTGACGTTTCGCCTGCATCTATGGCTAGCAACCTCAGACATAGTGAGGTCTGCTGGAACTAGGAAAAAGGGTTTATATATCTGTGGAATGACCAGGGTGAGACAAAGGACTCTTGTCTGCTGGAGCTAGGTGTGAATGTTTCAACTGACCACCTTGATTAGCATATAATGGCTTGACAGTGCCTAGAGCAAACTTTTGTTGAGAAGTGATTATATGTCCCTGTTTGTTTCCTCTCTGTTGTTGTGCTGTTGTAAATTTAGTCTGTCACGGTCTCCACATTTTCTCCTTCTATTTGCCAGTTATCAATCAATCCAGTTGCCATAACCTTGGTTTTTTTATGTTTAACTGCAACCCAGATTTTGATACAGATACAGATAGTAAATTGACATCCAAGCTTAAAAGGAAGGAAAAGCATATTGGGCTGAACTGAAAAATAACTGCTCTAAACAAAATTGGACCTTATTTTTTGTTATCAAAATGAAATAGGTGGAAAAAACCCACCCACTTACCCAATTAGGTTTCAGTGTTTCCTGCAATGGATTCTATGATTAGCCAGCAGAATTCCAGAAATTTGTTTGACAATTGATTTCCTATTTATGAATCTTTGTTGTAACTGAATAGCAACATTAAGAGCCAGATTTGAAATGCCCAAAAATCTTGCACATGACACACAGCCACACATGTTTAGTATTTCTGTCATAGATGGTAAAACCTGTGGTAAGTTTTGAATTTGGGACTTGGAGGCACTGTTGTACAGCTGCTCCATCCCTCCCTGGCAAACCGAGAAGGCAGGCTACTATCATTTTACTCAGATAAGCTTTTAAAACAGAAAGGTTTTAAAGAAACAGGCTAAGCAATGCTGTATTTATTAATGGGAATGTTTTTAAGCTCTTCCTTTTTTTTAAAAAAAACTTTTAACAAAGGCAAATATTATTTTAATATTTTATTATTAAATTACTTTAATTCTCTTTTAATATTTGCTTTTTTATGCTTTTTATCGATATCACTAGGAGTGTTAATATGGACTCTCAAATTGTGAGCCATCTTGGGAGAAACAACAATAGCCATTTCCAGTATTTCAAGGTTGGATTCATTTATTTGTCACACACACACAGATATGAGTGTGTGCTAGTCCCACTGATGAGATGGGTGGTGTGTATTTTTTTTGCTCTTTTTACTTCAAGCAACAAAAGAAAAACACTAAACTCTTTGTTTACTGCACATGTATTTTTGATGTTCTGGAGTTTTTCATACTCTCACCCAAAATATTACATCAAATTAATGGGTCTACTATATATACATTTCTTAATTCAGTGTTACAAATACCTGCCTTGATGATGAAACCTTGCAAACTTTTAAAGAAAGCATCATCCTACTGCAATTCAGTTATAATATTAACTAGCACAATGCTTTAGCATATCTGGGCCACACTCCTCTGATTAAACAAGGTATACAAGATATATCCTTACCAGTCTTGCAGCTCGGTTAACTTCTTTCAGGATGTCTTCAGGTAAAAATCCATAAAAACCTTCTTCATCTTCACCTCTCTGCCAAATCCCACTAGACAATAACTATGATGGGAAAAAAGCTATATTGGCACAAATATCCTTGTATCAGCTGTTCATGAAGAAAACATGTTATTCAATCACTGAAGAATTTTGCATGCACTAATATATTGTGGGTAAATCCAATGAACTAACAGTTACAATGTACTTAAAAACTGAATTGTATCTGGTCATCTATCCCGTTGTTCTTTTGCACTATGATGACATCTTGTGCCCAATTAGAAATGTTAAAGGCTAAAGTAATGCAACCATTTTTGAAAGACTCTACCACAGCTATTTCATTGCCTGGATTACTGAACAAGCATTCCTCTTGGGATCAAACTAGGAAACTGCTAAAAGTATGGCAGGCCTCAACTCTTGTTTCTCACTCAATTCCTCTATCATCTTCTTGTATACCAAATGGAGCAACTTGAAAAACAGTTATGGAACTGCTATTCACTTGAGATGAACAGGGATTTAACAATAAACTTGTTCAGCATAATACTTTCTTTCTATGAAACACAAAGAGGGGAAAGCGTTAAAGCAAAATTGGAAAACAAGATAAAGTGGAAACCCACAGAAAAGATTGGAAGTTAACTCCATTTTTATTTCATCTTTACTAACCATCAGCCATAGCCACCACTCACAAAGAGCTTTATATATGCTGATGACCTTGGCCTAATAACACAAGCAAAAGACTTTGAAGTACTCAAATCCAACGTACGAATGCCTTGAAAGATCTCTCCAGCTACTTCAAAGATAGCCACCTGAAGCCTAACCCTGTCAGGACACAAGTGTGTGCTTTGTACCTACGGAACTGTGAAGCCCACAAGACATTGAAAGTTACTTGGGAAGATCAAGAGCTTGAACACTGTTTCCATCCTAAATATCTTGGTGTTACCTTAGATCAAACACTAACATGGTTATCTTTGAAGTAGCTGGAGAGATCTTTCAAGGCATTACCACGTTGGATTTGAGTATTTCAAAGTTTTTTGCTTGTGTATTTATTTATTTATTTATTTATTTATTTATTTATTTATTTATTTATTTATTTCGGGGTTCTTTTACCCTGCCCTTCTCACCCCGAAGGGGACTCAGGGCGGCTTACAAAAGCAAAGGCACAATTTGATGCCTGCATCACAGAACAATCAAACACAAAATTACATCAATTCACAGTTAACAACAATTCAAGCATTATACCCATAAAATCAATAAAACCAATACAAACCCAATTCCTCCTCCTACATGGTCAGCGTTCGCTAACTCATAGTTCTAATTTTCTTTCTACTTCGTCAATCCTGTTGGTCTTACTCGCCTGATTGTCTTATTTAATTGCCAGAGTGCCCAAAGGCCTGGTCCCATAACCACGTCTTCACCCTCCTCCTGAAGGAGAGGAGGGATGATGATGTCCTGATTTCCCCCGGGAGTGAGTTCCACATGTCAATTAGGCCAAGGTCATCAGCATATATAAAGCTCTTTGTGAGTGGTGGCTGTGGCTGATGGTTAGTAAGAATATTAAATAACACCACCTAGGGGTAAACCATTCTTTTGCCCCCTCCATCTACTTTTCCCGTCTAGCTGCAGTTTTCAAGGAGGGTCTGGACAGTTTCTGTGAAATCATAGCCCCGGGTATTATGGTAGACTTTATGCAGCATTTTTTCTATGTTGAACTGTGTCATAGGCTGCATTCAGGTCCACAAAAATGGTAATGATAAAATGATACAAATACTAACCTACTAACAATTTAAATGAAAATTGTAGAATTTTCTGCATAGATGCCCATGAGATTGTAGATACTGAATGGTTCTCCCCTGATTTCTTTCTTATTTGCATTCGGCCTTGGTCTTGAGAAAAATACCAAAATATGATAAAGGACCTTGTCCGTCTGAGATGTGTTACTAATGGTACAAATATCTTTATGAATACCTGTGTAGCCAATGCAAGGCTGGAAAGTTGAACTTTAAAAGTTGCAAGACACTTTTACAGATTTGAAATCTGAAGGAAGCATATTATTAATACATTTTCCAAATTACTTGGATTTAGGAAAATATCCCAGCATACATTATTTTAAGGGCATACAGTGGGAGATCTTTGATGGTTTCTACTGGTCAAGAGTAATTAGCTCTCACAAATTAGCAGATTAATAGAAAGTGAAAGAAAACACTTACCACACAATAATAATGAACAGTGAGATTATAGTCCTCATAAGTCCTTTTTTCCCCATATTTTTCAGGACAGTTATCAGTCCGTTGACAGAGTTCACAAGCTAAAATTGAAAAACAATTTAAGACACATTGACTGTGAAGTATCCTTTTGAGGGATGTTGATTAGAGCAACCAGAACTACAAAATGTCACATGGAAACACACTATATATACATGCTACAGTTTAAGGGTGGGCAGTCTTAGTCAGGATAGAGGCCATTTCCAATTCCACTGACTATTACCACAGTCATACATTGAGTTGCAACTATTTCCATCATCATAGAAGTACCTGCTAGATGCAATGAAGTCAGTTGCTATTGGCTGTACTTCTGCATAGACATTTTTAGACATTCTTGTCTAAAAATAGGATGCAGGTGCATTGGTGGAGAACATGTGTGGAATTTGTCATTACTTAAACAAGTTGACAACATGTCTTCCCTTTGCATCATGTAAAAAACAATTTGACCACATGAGATGGAGAATTTAGGGACAGCTTAATGGAAACATTGTTTAACCAACTAATATAATAAAGGAATTAAAACACAAAAAAATCAATTTTTTTTGAATTGCTTTAAACTATTTCAGTTACTTTTGTTTCAGTACTTGAAACAAAGCAAACCATATTTAGTGGAGGATGTAAGTAAGATCAAACTAAGCTGAGAAAGCAACTTATATGGCAGAGATTTCCAAACTGTTTGTCACAACACTTTGTGTGTCGGTTGCAGTGTGTAGGTGTGTTGCATAAACGTAGCAACTAACATCTGAGACTATATGAAACAAGGAATAAATCGTATATTTTCAAATATATAATTGAAAGGTTTTTATGAGATATGTTGTATCCCCATACATTTTATGTATATGTCCATATCTCTTATGAGGGGTTGGTTTAAGCTGTCATTTGCAAATAAAACTGAGTAACTGTATTGTGAAATGACACTTGTCTAAAAAGTGTGTCACCAACATGAAATGTTTGGAAAGCTCTGATATGGAAGATTAAATGTCCAGCATTAGACATACCATATTCTGCAACCACTTCTTTTTAGGAAAACAAACTGGCTGTTTAATGACTGAGTTTTTATTCAAAGGTCAGAATCCATGATGAGCAAGTAACTAATTATACAATGATTGCCAATTTTTATTTGATAACTATAACATATTCTTAAACATTTTACCTAATCACTACTGGAAACATATATGTAATTTACTTCATGGCAGTACTCTCCAAAGTACTTACAATGCCAGTGGAATAATTTATTCTCACATTCGTGGAAGAAACTAAGGTAACTGTCTTGCCCTGCTAAAAACTGTTAATAACTACTACAATAATTATTGCAGTACTTGATCCCAATATGTACAATAGAGCCGGTATAATATTAGTACCATCAATATTATTAAGTACAGGACTTGGGGGGACCACAGTTTGATGGGATAAGAACATCAATTCTCTGAAGTCATTATTACATCAGTCTGAACAGGTAAAATGCACACAACTATTAAACAAGGAGAATTTCAAAACATATATTAATTTTTAACTTCAACAAATGTTGCAAAAACTACTTACGCAGATCCTGAATGCTGATTGTAACATTATCACCCATCTTAAGTGCTTTCTTTCCAACTGTGCAATATATAAAGGGAAAAACAATTGCAAAAACCAGTGTTACTACTTTAGCAAATTACTTACTACTCTTACAGATGAAAGTCAAGAACAATCAGGACAAAAATACCATGTTAAGTATTCACAATATCTCCCTCCATTGCAATGCTAAATCTGGCATTAGATTTTGTACTTAAATTAGTAGATCCTTGTGGTTTTTCCATTTTACTTAACAGCTTTAATTTTATTCTATTTCAGAATAAAAGTGAAATTTAGAAAAGTAAATACATTATCTCTGTGATGGTACAAAATTATCCAGAAGAAAATATGCTCCTAGTGTCCTTGTTGATAGTAAATTTGTTTCTGTGAATTAGCGGTGAGCCCTGCCTCAAGCCTTCATCCAGAGAAGTAAGATGATAACAGACAAGAGAAGAAAACAAAAAAGAAAAAGGGAAGGAGGGGTAGGGGAGGGGATGAGAAGGGAGTTAAGTGTCTTGTGTCAACTGAACTGGTGAGCAGCAGTAGATAAGGCAGTAAGTCACAAAGGCTGTTACATCAGGATCATTAGCTCACAAAGACTGCTGTCCTAGGCTGGAGCAATCAGTTTTCATATGGCAATAATATAAACTACTGGTTCACTTTCTTTAAAAGTATCTTATTCCTGTTCAAATTCAATTCAATGTCTTCACTGCTCCAACCTCAATCTTAAGCAGAACAGTGAGATATCCACAATAACAACATATTATCATGGAAATTGAGTGTAACCCAGAAGACAAATAACTAAACCTACCTAAGTTTATATTCAAATTACTTTGCTTATTTCCCACTCAAATGCTGTAAGTCCAACAAGCAAAGTCAGAAGAGTGTGGTTTGATCAGATAGGGATAGGACTAATGAATGTAGAACAATATGTTTTGCTGTACTTTTATTCTGGCAGTGTGGCGGAATTAATGATTCATTTCTACTTGTTCCAGAATATGGTATACATGCTACAGTTCTAAGTAGCTGAAAACATATTTGGAATCTGGATGAGCCTTAGGTAAGATTTCTGCTTTGAAGAAAACTGTCAAGCACACTGGATCCAGAGTCCATTTTCTGTAAATGGGCTTTTTCCATTTATGAAAGCAGAGAGATCTAACCAATAAGGCCAGCTGAAGTGATTTTTAAAGTTGCCTTTATTTCATGCTACTCAGAATGACCTCAACATCAAAGGACACAATAGAAACGGGAAATTGGAAAAAAGCACCACTCCATTCTCTTGTTCTAGTGAAAGAATTCTGTTCCGTTCATAGAGCCACTGAATCCAAGGCATATTTGTACAATCATTTTAAGCTTTTTGGAAGTAGTGTAAGTCTCAGGCTTAAACACAACAGCAGTGATAATTAAATCACTGACTGTCTTGGAAATTCCCATTTAGTAACTTTGTAACCACAGACATGTCTTTATCAACCGAATCCTACGCTAGCAACAGATAACCTTCTGTTTACACGTCCAACTGAACACCACTGATCCCATGTAATTGACAGAATTCGGTTTCTAACTGAATAGCCCCAGATCAACTAATGGTGCAATAGTATTTTCAAAATAGGCAAAACATAAAGCTAATTTGGCAAAAAGAAGGAATAAGTATGACTACTCCAGTGTTTTGGGGCTTTGAGGAAAGCCCTTCCAGGAACCAAAACGACACAACAAAATTAACCTCCAAACACATCACAAAGTGGACTGGGGAAATTTTCCTAACTCTCTATAGGCATTCTAAAGTTCCTTGTGAAAAGTTTCACCACAGCTGTCAGAAGTAAGATTTTTTTTTTGTCAGAATGTGAGTTACAGTTGAAAGTCGTTTAGCTAACTTTGCACAAATTTCCTACTAGAATAAAAATGGTACAAAGAAAATGCAAATAAGAAAACCTTACAAAACCTAATCGCTTTCCAGATTTTCTATTAACCTAGCAGGAGAGAAGCGAAAAACTATTTAAGAATTCAGGAATTAGGAAAAATTGAGTTGGCTTCTCACCTTGAAAGTCTGCTGCTGTACCTAAAGATAAGATATTTCCATGTGTAGACGAACTCTTCAGTTGCTTACACTCAGCTAACCACAAATATAGAGTTCCCTTTATCCCAGTTGCTTCATATCAGACCCCCCCCCCAAACAATATGAATTATATAAAATATTTGCATTACCAGATGCAGCTCCATTTGTAAATACAGCTAGATAGCCTTTTCTAATTGCTCTAAGAAGTAACCTTTCTATGAAATTCCTTGGAAATTCCCTGAAATGTGAACTTGTTATCGAACGCGATGACCCTGATTCCTAATAAAAGGGTTATAGTTTAACATGGAATGGAGTTATAGTTTTCCAAAGGCAAAGAGCCATAATGAATTGCAACAGCGCCTTTTCTCGCAAATGAAGTCCCCCTCGATCCTTCCTAGACCAGCAGCCAACTCCAAGTCCATTTCCCTTCCACTTAGTTCGGTTTAACCCTTTAATCTAAACCCGTCCGGATCAGCACCTATTCGCGGGCAGAGTCTTCACTGTATGGCAAGGCTGAGTACGGGTCACATGGGGGTAAGTCTACCCAAGAGTCTGCCCTAGTGATTCCCCAAGTATCCCAGAATTCTGACCCTGGAGGTCTTTCTAGGTACAAACAACTTCCAGCATGTTGTTGTTGTTGTTGTTCATTCGTTCAGTCGTCTCCGACTCTTCGTGACCTCATGGACCAGCCCACGCCAGAGCTCCCTGTCGGCCGTTACCACCCCCAGCTCCCTCAAGGTCAGTCCAGTCACTTCAAGGATGCCATCCATCCATCTTGCCCTTGGTCGGCCCCTCTTCCTTTTGCCTTCCACTTCCAGCATAACAAAATGAAAAGCAATTCCTATGATATTACAATGTATCCACATACTTGGGCTTCACCAACACTTTCCTCTTCAACTCTATACTATGCATCCTTTTTCCTTTCTCGCCTTCGAACATTTGCATGTGCACAAGGGAGAAAAAAGAGCAAAAAGAGGGAAATAACTTTTCCAATCCTCTTGTGCAGCTAAGACAGATCCCTGCTTCTCCCTTATTTCCAAGAAGTATGAATTTGTGCTGAAACTTCACTTGATTCTTTTTCATTATTATTATTTATGAAATATAATCAATACAAAGCAAAATGTAGTGAACTGTTTTAACCTCTGCTTGACTCTTGAGCAATATTGAATATTCCAGGAATTCTTATTCATACCTTGGTTGAAAGGAATACCTTTAGACAATCATCCCTAAGACAATGTCCTTCCTGGCATCCAACAGGAGGGGGGGGGGTGTCATCCATTCGCCATCTGGTACTTCCACTTTGGGGACCCAAGTTGCCAGCGGGACAAAAACCCAGGCATGGACTGTGATGACCCTAATGGCCCCACTATTTCCAGTAGACATTTTCTTGGACTTTATCTTGCCTTCCAGGTGTGGGAAGACACCTGGGGACTTAACACCCACTGTCTTTGCATCCTTGACCTGATATCTGCATAACCACATCATTCACTCATCCAGACTCATTGTCTCCCACATTCCATTGACTAACACCCAGAGATGGGTGCAGCATCCTGAGGACCTCCACTTGTTGTTTGGAGGCACCAAGGCTTCCTCGCCTGTTGGGAAGGGGATCCCCGGCCCTGTCATCACTGGCTTGGCCTGTCCCTCAGCCAATCAGGGGCCAGGAAAATGCCAATTGGCTTGTCAGTGCTAGCCAATCAGGAGAATGGGAGGGAATTTTAAACCCTAGCAATATGAATGCATGGAAACTCTTGTATAAAAAACTGACTGCATCTCCCATATCCTTTATGTACATACATTTTGGCATCGATTGCAGCACAAAGCACCCCTTCTGCAGATTGAATAAAGCTTCTGTAAGTTTCCCTTAGAACTGGTGAGGTCCTGATTTCAGATCTGGTACATTCGTGTTAGCAGAACTCACCGGGCGGGCCTCAGTAACTGTGGGTCTAACTGAAATTTTCAGCTTCAAACTCACCTTGCCCTTGCCTCACCCAGAGAAAATCACCATAACCCACTTTCCATTATCTGTCTGGCCTGATATGATCTAGGTTATACTTGGGAACGTCGCCTCAACTATAGCACCTATCCAGACCCCCTCTATGAATCCTCAATTGTATGTAATTGTGCCTCAAATACATTTTGTCTATCGGTCAGCACCTCCATTGTCTAGCTGGCATTGGGCCATCAGGAAATCAGCATGGCAATTTTTAATTGTTCTGTACTAGGCTTGTTTGATCAAGGAAAAATTTGGTTCTAAACTCGCTTCGTTTTCAGGGGGGCGCCAGCGTTTTGTATTTCAGAGGACTTCTGAAATTTCAGGTTATCTGAGTCCACATTCCTGATAGTTCGGCTGATAGGCTGATCAGTAAACATATTCATGGATTTCCTGCTGTTATATTAAGACTCTTACCCATGCTGTGACAGTAATCTGCCCCCCCACCCCCCGTTTAAAAAGTTTGAGGACCCCTGATATATAGTAATAATAGTTTTAAGCTGCTGGCCAGGAAGACAATTAGCTGGCTTAAGACAAGCCGTTTTAAAGCGTTTTAAAGACTGGATTCCTGTAAGTGCTGACCATTCTTAATTCAGATTGTTTTTGATGGATATAATATAATATAGTAATATAATAATATGTTATAATATATTATAATAATATTATAATAATATAATATATAGTAATAATAGTTTTAAGCTGCTGGGCGAGGAAGAGGATTAGCTGAGTTGACAAGCATGAGGAAAGAGGAGGGAAGCAGCAGAGCAAAGGTGGCTGGCAGGAGGGGAGAGACCGGAAGTGGGGTAAATGCACCGCTTGCTAGCTTGCTACCGGGGAGGGAAGAGAAATGGAGAGATTGTAAAACTTGCACTAGACATACGAAAATAATTACAAAAATTGGAAAAATTGTTTCGATTCTTAATTACTCCTCACACTATTCCTGCATGGCTCAATATTGGATCGTAAGCTAATTTAAATACGAATGCATAACGAGTA